TCGTGTGCTCGTGGATGTACTGCAGCCCGTTGGCCACATCAATCGCAATCCGCACCCGTGTCTTCCAGCTTAGCTTCTCTGCCCGGGAGGGATCGTGGAGCCACGAGTGGAGGGACCCGTTCTCCACGTATTCGTACACCAGATAGCAGTTTGCCTCCTGGGGGTCGATGCAGAATCCCTCCAGCCTCACTAGGTTCCCGTGGTTCACCTACAAACTCATCAGATAATATAATATTTTATACATATATTTTTTGTTTCTTTTTGGGTGAATTGCCCTAATTACGAGAATCTTGATATTCTTGAAATCCAATAATATCATTCAACATGGGTAGTTATATCATTTTTAATTCAGAAAATATTTTATATAGGTTGCCTATGTAAATTAAATTAACAGGAAAACCTCACTACAGGATGACATCACTCTGTTCATCTTGTATAATATTAGCAATTAGGCCCATCGAATTCTTAAATTCAATTTATAAGTTCTGCAGATTAAGCTATACATCTCTTCCATCAAACCATTAGTTTATTAACAGACTGATAATCAACCACATTAGATAATTATACGTATTTCATCACAAAGACAACATTATGCATCTCCTTGGTTTCATTGATCTGAAATTAGCATTCTTCCCATGTTTTCAACTGTGAACTAGTCAGCATTTTGAACCATAAAATTTCTGTATGGTGAGAAGATTCTGTTTGCTTGCAAGTCATTTTGTTACTCGATAATTATTTCCTCCGAATTACGCAGAAGGGTCTTTAATCCGATCATACAAGTTTCGAGCATTTATAACTAATTTTATACAGCAACAGATCCCAATACAAAAGGGTCTTCCAATGTACGGTTTTTTGCTGTTTAAAGATCCTTTGATTTCCTAACTTATTTCCAATACAAAATCTTTGTTGTTTAAAGATGCTTTCATTTTTATCATCTTGATCAGAAGATACTCACTAGAAGCATGTCATAAGCTCTAAGAAAGTGTTCATTAACGAAGCAAGAGCTCGCAAGCAAACAAGGACAATAGATAACACAAAACTGTCGGCATCTAAATCCAATTTACTTCACGATCAGACATTCGTTATTTTACCAAATAAAAATTCATACTTTACCGCAAAAATTGATAATCTTCAGAAGGGATCAATAGTTGCTTGCACTTTTGTTGAAAGTAACTAAACTCATTCAATAAATAAATAAGTTCCATTAAAACAAAAAGAGAGAAGAATTACCTTCTGCAAAATCTTGAGCTCCTCATAAGCATTCCACTTCATCTTCTTGATTGCGAAGAATTCCCCATCGATGCAGCCCTTGTACACAGACCCCTGAATCAAGCACTTGTCATCAAACCCCTCGGTTGCCTTCTTCAAATCCTCAATGCCAAACACTCTGTACTTATCCAAACAGCCCGATACATCGGCCATTAGATTCACTTCCTCGGCCTTCAAACCCGACCCGGCTCTTCCCATGTCCAGCTTCTCTTCGATTCCGCCATAAAATTCTCCTTTTCCCCTCTTTAGCTTTCTTTCTCTGTACCACCACACAGCGCAAACCAGGATTAGCACAATCCCACATATACCCAGACCTATCCCCAATCCTATCTCCAAACCTCTATTGTTATCATCACCACCATTTATATTAGTAGTAGTAGTAGTATTGTTGGTGTTATTACTATTTCTATTATTGGGATTAGGAGGCGCCACTGTAGGCTGGGTAAAATTGGGGAGACGTGAAACAGGGACGAAGATGGTGTCGAACGCCCGGATATTGTTCCCATTGACGTCGATTATCGACTGCTGTGTGGAGCCGAGCCTCGATGCGACGTCGCTCAGGCGATCGGCCGGCTGGAAGACGTAGCTGACGAGGTAATTGACCCGATTCCGCACCTGCGACGAATTAGGGCAGCGGCAGAAGATGGGGAAGACGATTACATCCCCGACTTCGAGGCGGGTGGGCTCGAAGGTCGGATTGACGACCTCCACGGACTGGTAGGTTGTGAGGTTCTGGAAGTTCACGGTGGAGACGCGGTAGAAGGTGTCGCCGCTGAGGATGGTGTAGTTGAGGGCGGCGTAGGAGATTGTGATGCTGACGTTGACGGTGTGGCAGGAGCAGGTGACGGGGACGAGGAGGGGCTGGGCGGGGGCGAGGGTGGCGTTGGCGGCAGAGATGTTGCTGGGGCGGGATATCTCGAGGCGGCTGACGGAGAAGAGGTCGCCGACGGCGGCGAGGTCGAGGTAGTCCGGCGAGGCGGCCCGGTAGTAGACGTAGGTCTGGCAGGAGTTAGGGGACGACTGGTTGGTGGGAGGCGTGCAGTTGAACCCTATGGTGCTTGGCTGGGCTTGTACGCTGTGGATAGAGAACAAGAAGAGGCCGCATAATGATAATGATAGTGATAGTAACAAGGTTTGTTTGGTGGTGGTGTTGTTCTTCATTTTTAGCTGCTATGGCTGCTGCTGAGTTTTGAGGAAGAGCATGAAATGTGTGTGTGTGTGTGTGTGTGTGTGTGTGTGTGAGTGAAACAAAAAAGTATTTCTGTAAAGTGGATTTTTATAGGTGGGAGTTTGAGGTTGAAGATGACTGATTTTTCAGTCAAGATAATAATTTTAAGTCTCTCGTTTTGTGGGAGCAATTTTCCAGGTTGGGTGGGTCAGTTGAAGGAAATAATAATGTAACTATGGAAGTAGGACTTGTTAAGAGGAGAGTGTGTGAAGAAAATTCCGCTTGATTCCAATTTTTGATGATGGTATATTTAGTAATACGCGTTTTCGGCAGCAACTAATTCCGTAAAGTTGAGGAAATAGCTATTTTCACCTTATTTTGAAGTTCTGCTAAGTTTTTCACACCGCCTAATAAAAAGTTAAGTTTTTCACTCCACAAAGTACGAAGATATATGCAGAAAACTATACGATAGATAGACGACCGGTATAAGCATGAGCGAGAAAATTATGAGTCAAAGTATGCGACGAATATGCGGAGATCGATGTACGATTCCGTCAATCGCGGTTCGTCGCCCATTAAATAATTATTTTTGTTAGGCGAATTAACTGCGACTATTAGTCAAAAAAATTATTCTACGACATACCAACGTCGCATATTATTCGCATAATTGGCGCATAATAAGTTTTTTCGTATTTCTTTCATCTTTCAGTTATGCGAGGCGGCATGCGAATTGTTGCATATTGCTTGCATACCCCCTTTGCACTTCTACTCGAAAGTGTATTTTTTATTTATTTTTTTTATTTCTTTCATCTTTCAGTTATTTCAGTTATGTGATAGGGTATGCGAATTGCGGCATATTGCTCGCATACCAACTTCGCACTTCTACTCGAAAGTTTATTTTTTATTTTTTTTCATCTTTCAGTTATTTCAGTTATGCGATGGGGTATGAGAATTGCCGCATAATGCTCGCATACCCCCTTCCCACTTCTACTCGAAAAGTTTATTTTTTATTTCTTTCATCTTTCATCGTTTAATTTAGTTTAATTTTTTTCTTTCAGGTATGAGAACGACATAATATTTTTAAAATTTAAATTTTTGAATGGTTTAGAAACCGCTGTCAGTTGGAACGTTACGGCCGATTTCGAGGCGTCTTAACCACTTTTCGAAATGCCTTAGCAGTAAAAGCGTGCATGCGAATTGTTTCCTCCGTCTATATAAAGCGTGTCATCTTCGATACTTATCAAGTCAATTCTCTTTCTACCCCTCCGTCCCTCATAACTCTTTGATAATGGCCCTCCGTTTTTCCCTTCTCTTGTATATGAGAAACAGTTCACCGGAGATAAACCAGAATTACAAAACTTCTTTCTTTCGACCCGTGAGGCAATTCTTTAAGATTTCTGTGTCCGAACTGAGAACTCCTAACATTCCGAATTCGTCGGAGGAAAAAATTCAACGAGTAGAAATTCCGCTATCCAACTTTATTAACGTGGCCCCCGGAAGAAAAACATATGTCGCGACACGATGATGAAGATCAAACCTCCGGGACCGAGTATTGCTGGATCAACTGGGGGAAGGTTGAAGTTCGGGAAGACGCGCGTCGGCAGCCAGGGTGTAACAGCCCGTCCCTCTGTCAAAGGCAATGCTGGCCTCAATCCTCTCGAGATTATGGTCGGCCAGGTTTTCCTGACAGAGGAAGGTGGTTGGTATCGAAGGTGTTTTTCCCCGAACCCGTCAGAGCCCATCGGTTGAGAGCGTGGTGGTCGTGGCCGATCTCATGCTGGACTTCTACATGGAACTCCACAAACAAGCTCCACCTACAGCTCCTCTTTCTCGAGTCTGAGTGTTGTGGGAGCTCGTCGGCTCCCTCGTCCTAGCTTTTGTTAGGCTGGTCCTTCAATTTTTTTTTTAACTTTGTAATCGGCTGGGGTTGAAGCGACTGTAAGAGCAGTAGTGTATGGATTTCTGTTCGATCTTTTATAATGCGAAATACAAACTTCGCATATTATTCGCCTAGTTGGTGCATAATAAGAAAAAAAAATATTTTTGAAAATTTTCTATTCTGGGACACACATTGCGAAACACTCGTGTAGTATAAATGAAGAATAATTTATTTTTTTTAATTTCTTTTTGGAATTTTCTATTCTGCGAAATACAAACGTCCTGTATTATTCTCCTAGTTGTTGCATAATAATTTTTTTGTAGAATTAATTTTTTGAAAATTCTTGTTTAGGCGAAATGAACCTGAGACTATTAGTCGAAAATATTACGCACAACAAACGCATAACACGTAGTATAATCGAAGAATATTTTTTTTTAAAAAAAATATTTTTGAAATTTTCTATTCTGCGAAATACAAACACGCATATTTAAGTTTTTTTTTTTATGTTTGTAGAATTTAATTTTTGGATAATTCAACAGTTTAGGCTAATTAACCTGCGACAATTAGTCGAAACAATTTCGCATACAAACCGCACAACATTCGTAGTATAATCGAAGAATTTAATTAAACAAAAATTGTTTTTGAAAATTTTCTATTCTGCGACACACATAATTGCGACAAATAAACGTCGCATAATTCATTCGCAGGTCAACCGGAGGATATTCGCATACCCACTTTTTGTGTAAAACAATTATTTTAAAAAATATTTTGTGTTCAAAATGATTTGATAAATGCGATTCTTTATGCGACCGTCTCACGACGGATATGCATTAATTCGCAGGACTACCGCAGGGTATTAAACTGCGAAAGAGATACGGAAACTAAACCATTATATTTATTTTGTTTATTAAAAATGTATCGGAATTGCGAAAGTATGGTGCTTGTTACGCGAACATTACTCGACAGCTGTTATTTCGCATACTTTGTCGTATAGTTTATTATTTAAAAAAAAAAGAAAAAAAAAAGAAAGCAAACGTCGCATATACGCTACAATTGCACCTCTCAGGAGAAGAAAACAAAAAAGAAAGAGGGGCGAAAAATTTGAAATTGCATCTTCCATCTTGCGACATTAATTCGCATAGTTATAGAAGCAAATGAACTGTTAGAAATTTAAAGAAAAAAAGAACCAAAAATGATGAACGAGAACGACGTTATGGCCTTCTTAAGAGATTCTGAAGATTTCACGAATCAAGCTTTCCTCGAGGCGGCCGGCCAAGCGGGTGCCCTAACAGCGGCTACTGCGGCCGACGACTCAACGGCTGCCGTAACGGGTATGGCGGGCCGCGACTCAGCGACTGAAGGCACGGGTCCGGAGGCCATCTCTTTTGGAGAGGTAACTTCCGTTTGTTGCAATTATTTAATTTAAGTATTTTAATTTCATTTGCTTTAATAGTTGAGAAATAGTTGTTTTTATTTGATAATGTATAAGTAATTTGATTTGAATAATTAACAACAACAACAACAATGCAATTGTTTAGGATTTGTGGTCGTACAAGAGACAGGGCCTGATCGATAAATATGAAGGGTTGAAGATCAACGTTTACAGCCGGCAGTATATATATTCTGATATCAAGAACGAGTTGGGCCTCGTTGAAGGGGCCTTGACTGCTTTCTAGAGATCGGTCTTTGGTCCGTTCCTCCAGTTTGATGATAAGGCTAATGTCTCTGCAAAGGCAATGCATGGGGTTCTTTCGCGCGAGGTGACTCGTGTCGGTCAAAACCCAAACGAGATGTAGTTCAGTATTGGTAACCATTTAACCCGATTCTCTGCCCATGAGTATGCTGTGGTGACCGGATTTGCTTTTGGATCGTCTGCATTTGACCCGAACTCAGCGCCTCCTCCTCCTCCATCGTCTATTTTCTATGAAAAATATAAAGGCAAGCGGGTCACTATGCAGCAGTTGCGTGATGACTTCAAGGCGGGGCAGTTTCGCCACTCTCGGGTTGTGATAGCGAGAGTGGCGAAGATGCTAATGCTAATGTACTTTATAATTCCTCATGACGACAAGAAGGCTCGGTATATTGATACCTGCTGGTGGGCTTTGCTAGAGGAAGACCAAATGTGGGAGAAATTTCCCATGGGGGAGTTACTTGTTTCAATACCTGCTCGACTACTTGAAGACGACCCAGTACAGTAAAATGAAATATCATATCTACGGATTTCACTGGGCGTTTCTAGTATGGTGCTACGAGGCAATCCCTGCATCAGGTCTTACATGTAGAGCATGTATCTCGGTGAGACGTCCACCACGGCTGGTTCACTGGGAACTGAGGAAGGTCACACTTCCAAATACATTTTTTGACCAACATGTATTTGTTGTGATCTCAGGCGAAAATGATATTTCGATGAACGAGAATGCAAAAGGGGATCTGGGAAATATTTCAGACAAAGAAAGGACAATGAGTTTGGACGATGTTGCTGATGAAGGGGGTCATCTTTCGACACGTGGCGCAACCGGAGGCGTCGATTAAAGATAGTGAAGGGAACATCTCAGTCGTACGCGTGTCTAGCTTATTTTACCTCCATAAACCTTTAAATATGTAATTTTCCTTTTTAGCATTTTCTTTTAGTAATTTTATTTAAGTAGTGGAATGTGGGCATCTTTGGTGGTTTTGCATGGCCCACACAAGTTGTTATATTTGGCAGAAACTAATGAAGTGAATGGCAAGTAATGATTATCCAATTATTCCTTCTCACTCTCTCTTCTCTCTCCTCACCAAAATCTCTCTCTCTCTCTCTCATCGTCACTCCTCTCCCCTCTTCTTCCTCAAGTTATCAATTTCACCATTGTTGCTAAGTTGAAGTTACAGAAAATTCCATAAAAAATTCCCAAAAAATATATAAAAAGCTCAGAACACAACACTTGGTATCCAGAGCAACACGATCCTCGGAGATGGCCGAAAACACCCGCTTGAAGGACCTGCAAGAAAACCAAAAGAGGTTGGATCATATTTTACAAACAGAAATCCTAAAAAGAGAAGCAGCTGAGGTCAAATTACAAGAAAAAATGGAGAGCATGGGCATTCTGATGAAAGAACAAGCTGTGGAAGTAA